AATTTGATTAATTTATTAAAAATATTAGAATTAAATTTTAATATATATGATTAAATAAGATTTTGATACTATTTTAAAGATTACTTTATCAAAAATATACAAATAGTAATATATAATAATAATCTTGTCTATTATATTATATTTATAATTCTAACTAATATTAGTTTAAAAGATTTTAATTAATTGATTAATTGATTAATTATATTTTAAATCTATTTAATTAAAAAAATTTTTAAATGTATTTAAAATATCTTTATAAAAAATTATTAAATTATATTATTATATATTTTCAAAAAAGAAATTTAGTTTCTAAAAAAAATAGGTCAAAGTTATATAATTTAATTATACAAGTTTTCTTTTTAAAATTTAGATAATATTACATAACTTATTTCACTTGTATCTTAAGATTATTATTATTATTATATTACTGCTAAACTCATTGCTTTACAATAGAGTATATCACGTGATATTACATAAAAATTCATAAAAAAAAGTTGTGTAATCAATTTTAAGACTTAATTCAAATTTTATTAGAAAACAAAATTTTTTTTTTAGATTCATTATTATTATACATATTTTTTTATTATATAAGATATTAATCAAAAAAACTATTAATTAACTATAGCCAATTAAAATTAATTATTATTATCTCTATATAATAAAAATATAAAATTAATATAATATAGATGAGTATTAGAAAAAGGGATTAAATCAAAATTTTTTTTAAATAAAATTAAATCTGATTATCTTATTTGATCCAGAACTCTTATTATTTAAAAAAATATTTTGATAATTTGATCTCTCATTTTATATTATAAATTAATAAAATTTTTTTATATAAATACTTTACTTTTTGATTTAATTTTATTTAAATTTTTATAAATTTTAATACATTAAATAATAATATAATATATCTTTATATTAATTTTAAAATATTATTTAAGATAAAATATTTAATAAAAGTTATTAATATAATCATGAATAAATATTTATATTTATATATTAAAGAATTTGTAAAGATTATAATAAAAATATATATTTAAATAATAGTAATATTTATAAGAAATTGTATTAAAAATAGATAAATATGATTGAATATAATTTATTAATTAGTTATAAAACTACAATTAAAAATAAATAAAAATTATTTTTACTTTTTAATATAAGCTAATAAAAGTTATATAAATATAATATAAATAGATATAATTTTAAGAATGAATAAAGATATTAATTAATCAAATTAATCAAATATTATATCTTATATATTTATTATCAAATGTAATTATATCTGAAATCTTAATAATTTATTAAAAATAATATAGATTTATTTTTACAGATTATATATTTACAATTAATAGTTAATAAAATGAATATATTATTAATATATATAAATTTATTATTGATATTTAATATTAAATTTATATAATAAAATAATAAAAATTATAAAATTTTTGTATAAAATCAATACTTTTATAATGGATAATTATATTTATTTAATTATTTTTTTTATAAGATTGAAATTTATTTTTAAAACAAAATATAATCATAAATGCATATGATATAAAAGTTATATATAAGTAAAATTTATAATTTTTTTGATAAACAAATTAAAAATTCAAATTTAATATAAAATTTCAGATTTCAGATTAGATATAGATTAGTAAATTATAAGTTTTAAATATAATTCTGAATCAGATCAAGTTGACCTATTTATCTGATCTAATTTGATTTGAAAATCTAAGTTAAATAATAGATTTTCAGATTAATGTTAGATTAGGTTAACCTGTTATCTAATCTAACCTAATTTGACAAAATTCAGGTTAACTAATAATTTTTTTGAATAATAATAATTATTCATAATGTATATTATTTAATTAGAATGATAATAAATTATTCTTCTTAAATGATAATAAATTGTTTAATTAGAATAATAATAAATTATTCTTCTTGAATGATAATAAATTATTTAATTAAAATGATGATAAATCATTCTTCTTGAATGATTTAGTCAAATAAAAATTAAAATCAAGTCAGAATTTTATTGACCTAATTTGATCCTCTTGGTTCAGTAACTTGATTAATCTAATTTATATTGATTCTCATGTTTAGAATTTTTGAATCTGATTTATATTTAAAATATCAGTTTGAATTTTTTATAATTCTAATAAATATTATAATTATTTGTTAATTTAATTTTGTATACTAAATTTTTATTTTACATTATTTTTTTAAAAAAAAAAATATATATATATAATTTCAAATTTAACAGTTAAACAAATTGTTTAAATTTTAAAAGAAGAATTAAAAATATTATCTACATTTACATATCAATAATTTTATTAAAATTTAATTAAACTTCACTTTTCTACTTTTCTTCGATTTACATTGTACACTTCAATAATTTTTTTAGTAAAAATAAATATATATGTTGTGTCTTAGATGACGATTTGCGTCAGATGATAACTGGCCTAAATTATGGGCCTATTTGGGCTAAACTTATAATGCCTTAAGAAGGTTTGGTCAGCATTAGTCATCTGACGATCAACTGTCAGTTGACGCAATCGATATCTGATGCATTATATATATTTTGGTATTTATAAAATAAAATATTAGTGAATTTATTAAATTATTAATTTATCAGTCAGTTTCAAGTCGGCATATTGTAATCCAAATGCATCAATATCTAAAATATGCATTTGAGATATCTTAAATAAGAATGCGCAGTTGGGATATCCTAAATGCAAAGATCATTTGTTTGGATAATAATCAATAAACATTTCAGATAATATTCCAAATGTTTATTTCAGATATCCCAAATGCGCATTTCAGACAATGTCTCAAATAAACATTTTGGATAATATTACTTCAGATATCCAAATGATAATTTTGTTACAAATAGTTTATTAAGCTTTATTTAAGTTGTAAAAAAAATTACACAATAATTTTGCATTACATTTTATATCAGAAATTTTAACTTCAGATATTTTTTATAATCTTATAACCCTCTTAATAATAATAATATAATTAATTGTAAAGGTGACATTTTGTTTAAATAAAATCTTATGCATTTATTTTTATATTTCACATGCAATTAATTCATTATAAAATTAATTAAAACATGAAGTGGTCATTCGGGACAGTACGAAGGAAGTGGTCGTTTGAGATATCCGAAGTGAGCATTTGAGCCATTAGCCGAAATGTTCATTTGGGACATTGTCCGAAATGCGCCATTTTGGATATCATTTGGGCATCAACGCTTTTGGGCTACAACAGTCATATTATTAAGACAGGGCCTTGCCGGCTGGCATTTTATTTAAATCCGACTAATTAAGACTTTATTTTAAATATTTTGTTAACCGATTAGAAATTAACTGGTTAATAATTATTTTAATTATTAATCGTAATTGTTAACGTTAACTCAAAAATGCAATTAAGGATAAATACGTATTTAAAAAATTATGCACTTATATGCTGTTAGTAATTAGCCATTAAAATTAGCCGATTAATTAGCCGATTAATTAACCAGATAAATTAACCGGTTAACCCATTAACCAAAGCCGGTTAATAATTAGCAGGTTTTTGATGAATAATTCAAATACTTGAGATGATGCAGAATGGTTAAAAAAATTAAAAAAAAAATTCTTTAATCCTTTAAAAAAGATGTTATAAGCTAATGAAGCTGTATTTAAAGCTCATTTTAACTTGTTAAAACTTTAAAATTGATTGTCTATGACATTTTTAGAAAAGATCGGATTCATTAGTATTACAATCCTATTATAAAATAACAAAAAAGAAATACAATGAAAGCAAAACAATTCGAACTTTAATATTTATCACTTTTCCGGAGTCGCCAGTAGCTTTCTTGGAGCCGCCACAAAGGTTTATTTCTGCTTTAGAGGGGATTGAAGATATTTTACGCTTTCTATTCAAATGAAATTGAAAGGCGACCTTTTCTGCATTTTTTACCGACCGTTGTAATTTTATTATTAGTTTCCACTATAATGAAGGAGGATGAATTTCAGGTCAAGCCAAATAATTATAAACGTCATTACGAATGTAAACGTTCTCAATAACAAGAATTTGATAAAGTGAGACTCGATGAAATCCGTTATTAAACGAATCATTACGCAGCGATTTATCGGAGTTGTTTTTTTTTAAAAAAAAGATATTTTTCTCACAAACACAACAAAAAAAAATTTTCATTATCGTGTTTCCTTATTAATTCATGAATAACTTAAATATAGATCACCGTATATTTAAAAAAAAAAGAGGGGTTCATTAGGCTAAACGGAAATCATTGAGCACGTCTTCGCCGAAAAGCTACCGTATTATTCATGATTCTGATAATCTCGTGTCAGAATTGCAAAAAGTTTATCATTTTTCCTTATTAAATGATGTTATTGTTTAACCGAGTTTGATCATAAGTGTGTCGGTTAATTACTAAATTACTAAATTAGTAATACAATAACGAGGGAGTTAAATTCAATGTTATTCTTCTTTGATTAGTAGTATAATGAGTCGGACTTTATTTTCTTCAGAATGCCCACCTTTTTTTTTTTTTTTTTTTTTTTTTTTAGAAAATGGTCTATAGATCTATCAAAAGGAATTTTTATTCTAAATTAAAAAAACATTGGATGTCGTAAGCTCGACACGTACTTCGTTTGCAAAACTTTATCAACGTTTTTGCCGGTATTTGTTTGACAAATTTAGTTAAAAAGCTGATTATGAATATAAACGGCATATTCCGAATGATAGACCGCAGCATTGCTTCATAGTATGAAATTAAAAAAAATTCTAAACTTTTAGCGAACTGCGTTAGTTTATAATTACATGAATGAGATACTCTCTCGGACACTATTTTCCGATTTAACACAATCAAATTTGAGTACAAACATGACAATTTTATTATAAATAGGTATCTTTTTGCAATCCAACGTAAGAGATAAAATCATTTCTTCCACTGATATAATAAATAGATAAAAAATCAAATTAAAGCTCATATGACTGTTCAAGAAGGAAATCAATTTCATCAATCTCGAATTTCTGAAAATTCACGTGTTCAAAGAGTAAAGATAACCCCCAACTATAGATTAAATAATAACTACCTTTTACCTGCAAATAAGTTGATATATTCCTCTCAAGAAATCCTTCCTCCGATTCAAACGGAGATGGAAAGTGACACCGAATTTGAAATAAAGCCTACAATTAAAAGAACTTGTGCTCGCTGTAAGGAATCAAACAAATGTGTTAAAATGATTCGTTCAAGGATTCATAGATTAGAAGAATTAGTTAATAATATTGCGAAAACTACTGATAATTATTACACTGGTATCAAGGTATTTATAGCTTTAAATAATATTTTTTTTTCGCATTTTATTCGAATTTTTTTGCATGTTGAAATTTACTCCTCTCTCTTTGTGTATCAGGAACGACAAACTCCTCAACAATCGCTACAATTTCTTCCTTACTCTATCCAATCGGATTCTAAACCGGCGAGTAATGTTCCAATATCATTTTATGATATTTCAAATTTTAGCATGGAAGATTTACAATTAGTTATATCAGCTATCACCAATAATATGATGATTTCTAATAGGAATAGTTACGTTAAATAATTTTAATGCAAAGAAGAATAATTCTATTTATGACAGAAGTTACCACTTATGCTGGAAAAATAGAAAGAGAATACATTAAGAATTTGGCAAAAGCATTAAAAAAAAACAATTCTTGTAATTCGATTTATATATAAATATCACCTATGTTTACAAAAATTCTCTTTCTAAAATTTATAAAAAAAATCCTCTAAGTTTTATTTTATCAACCATTCTTCAACCATTAAGATTATTGTTCTCTATTAAAAAAAAAAAAATTACTTTTGACTTTTTTAAAAAAAATCGTGTCAAAATATGATTCGACATGTTCCAAAAATTGTTCCAAAAATAGAAATGTGTATTAATATGCACCATTGTTTCCAATTTGGTGGAATATTCTGTACGGTTTACATAGGTAAAATTGATCATACGTTATAAATAACCGTTTTTATTATAAAAACGCACCACATGTCAATTATGTAATTTTACCCGAAAATAGCCTTTAATTATCGTTTATTTTGATTTTTCATTATGATAAAAAACAATAGAATTGCAGATCATTTTACTTCCGGAGTTTGTTCTACGATCACAATAGGAAATATGTATACTAAAATTCATTGTTACTGAATACGGAATTTTTTTTTGCGTAACTCCATGAAGCTATTTTACGAAAAAATTCCTTGGATTCTTAAACCCTTGTGTAAGATAGAGAAAAAAATTTTTTGTTAAATTTCATCACGTAATAATATTATTTTATATAACAATTTATAAAGTACTTGAACAGTTTTTATAATTATTACTTCATCTGCTTCTTTTTTTTTTGTTATAACTTTTAAGTAATTTTCTTCATTTTATAGATTCATCAATTTCTTTAGAAATTTTTCAATTTTTTCAAAATTATCTAAATGAAAAAGATGAATCTTACATAGGTTTATTACATGTTAAACTATAAAAAATTACTCCTTCATTATCATTATCATTTTCATTTATAATAAAAGAAAGATGATAACAAAAAAAATATAAAAATATTAACCGTTTTTTTGCAAAATATAAATAACTTATAAAATTTATTTAATTTTTATTTTTCATAAAATTAGATTTTCATTTATTATAAAAATAGCTTAAACTTGATATAATATAAAATGAATCAAATTACAGTATTAATTTATAAGTATTATTGCTTATTTCTCTTCAATTTATTGTTTTAATTGCACAATTTTTAATAATTATAATTCAAATTAATGAATATTAACTTTAATATAAACTAAAGATATCTATTATATGTAAGTAAATTTATTAATCAAACTATATTTTATTAATAATTAAAATCATTTTTAATTATTTTAAATATTTTTAAAATAATTTTTAAAATAATTTATTAAAAATTAATATTTTATAATAAATTTTATAATATTTTCTAAGTAAAATTTAAAAAAAAATTGTAATTAACTAATAATTTTTTAAAGACAAATATATAATAAATTATTAACAAAAAATTAAAAATTTAAACTTATATATTTTGTTATCTTTTAAATATAAAAATACTACCATTTAATAGGTTTAATATAATAAATCCAATTAAATTTTAAGATTTTATAACAATTAGATAATAAGTTATTTTAAAAATTTAAAATATTAAAATATTAATATATATATTAATAATTATTAATTTTAAAAAGTTAAAAATATTATTATTAGGTACAATAAATCTAATAAACTTTATTTTATATTTTATAATTACTAGATATTAAAATATTATATATATATATATTTTATATGCAGTAGCTTTATACAATTTTTATTAATTATAAAGTAAAGTTATACAAATTACAAATTACAATTGAGAAAATACAAAAAATTTCTATTTAGTTAAAAAATATATTAAATTAAAATCAATTTTATACTATTCTAAATTAACTTACCCTAAATAAATTTAAAATAAACTTAACTATCTAGTATAAGGAATCTGGTTGCTATTGATCTAAAAATTTGATTAATTTTAAAGAGAAAAAAAAATAAAAAAAGAATAAGGATTAGATTCTGTATTAACAAAATATGTTTTATGATTAGCTATAGAAATATTATTAAAGAATTTACTGGTCAAAATCAAAATTAAACATGTAAAACAAATTAGCTTAAAATTAATAAATTATCAAAAATCAATCTAACCAATTGGCATATATTAGAAATCAGCTAAAAAGCAAATAAAATTTGATCTATCTTATTTATAGCTGATTAGTATACAATAGTAATAAAAAAAATAAAATAAAAATTGGTGATTATTTTACTTAATTTTCTTAAAAAATAAAATTTAATATTATATTCCTGAATGCATATTAAAAAATATTAAAATTTAAAAGTTTATTATGTTTTTATTACTAACTCTAAATGCTTTACTATAGATATTATAAGATTAATTTTCATTAATTGCCTTACATTTTTTTTTTATTAACCTCATAAAAATCTTTTACATAATGAATTTTTTCAATAACCATTATATTAATTCTCTTTTTTACTCTTTTCTTCATTATTTTCTACTAACTTTTGATTAGATTAAAATTTGATAATAAAGACAGCTAATTAAAAACTTACAAATATTCTTAGAAAAGAATGATTGTAAGCTTAGTATAATATTTTAAATAATTGTCCTGCTAAATGTTCACCTATTATCAAAAACTCAAATAGCTTATTTAAATAAATTTTTATTTATAATCTTTCAGTAAAGCTCTTCATTTATATTTTTAGTAAATATATAAAAACTGATGGTTCTTTTTGCATAAAATGCTTTTTATATATGGATTGTAAAGGGATGTTTGATTGTTATATATCTTAACATTAGTTCTCTATCTTTATAATAAACTATAACTATATTATAAAATATTTAAAATAATGACTCATCAGAAATATAACTTTACTTTATTCTTTTCTTTAATGAACTCTTGCTCAAACGATATAATTATTTATAGTATTTTGAATAAGAAAAGATACTTAACAAAAAATACAAACTTTATACTCAAAAATTTAAAGGTTTTCTTTAACTATATAAGATGTAATATTAAGATCAAAATATCTTTTTTTAATATTTCTATTATTTTTTTATTTGAAATACAATTTTGTAATTTCGTAATTTGACTAAGGTAATAATGTTTATTAGAAATAAAATATCTTAAATATCCTAAATGGCTTTCTTGTTTAAGATCATTTATTTCTTTAAGCTATTTGTCATATCTGTATAGGATTTTAATGGATATCCAGTTGTTTTATAAAGGTTTGCAATTTTATGAACTTCACTAATTAATAAAGTTTTAATATCCTATAAAAAATAAATGTCCAGAAAATATTATTGAAAATATCCTAAATCTATTCAGGTATATCAGAAAATATCTAGAAAATAACCATTATTTGTTCTAAAAAATGATCACATTTGCTATTTAGATTTATTCAAACATTTAAAAACATCTGAAATATATACAGAAAGAAATTTAATCTTTTTTCTAATACAAAATATATTTGAAATTTGTATTAAAATTATTTGTCTATTTTTATAATACAGAAAATGTTTGGATTATGTATTAAAATTTATGTCCGAAATATATATATTTTTTTTAATACAAAAAATGTTCAGACTGATTTTAATCTAATCATTTCTAATTTTAGTTAGTATATATTTTTATTTTACATTACATAAATAAATGATCTACAATTGTATTATTTATGTATTTTCTTTTTTTTTTTTTTTTTTAATAAAAAAAACTTTTATTTTATTTAACATAATCTTTAAAAAAAATTATTTTTTTAAAACTTAAATATTTGAACTTGTAAGAAAATCTTATTAAATATACTTTTTTTGATAAATTTTAATTTTTATATTTTTTTTTTAAATATTAATACAGAGATTTCATGATGATATTTAAGTACTTTGGTTAAAGTAAATCACCTTTTATCTCTAAATAAAAGTTGATAAGCAGATTCAATACTATTTATATCTAATTTTTTATCTCAATTGGATTAATATTCGTGTAGAAATAAATTTTTTTGTAACTTTACTAAATAATTCATACTTTTTTGACTTTACAAGAAAATTTGAGCACTTTAGTCAAAATCAATCACTTTTCATTTATAAGTAAATGTAGTTCAACAAATGCTATACTATTTGCATATAAAATTTAATCTCAATTGGATTAATATTTGTATTGTAATATGTATTTTTATAAATTTATTAATAGCGCAAACCTTTTTTTTAACTTCACAGGATATTTTGAGTCCTTTAGTCAAAGTCAATTACCTTTTATCTTTAAGTAAAGTTATTCAGCAGGTTTGATACTATTTGCATATAAAATTTAATCTTGATTGGATTAATATTCATATTATAATATGTGTTTTTTAACTTTATTAATAGTGCAGACTTTTTTTAACTTCATAGGATAATTTGATCACTTTGGTTAATATAAATCACTTACTACGCATTAAATAAAAATGTTCTATATATCTGAAACTACTTACATATAAATTTTTATCTTACATAATTTAATATTCATTAAGTAATAGCTTTTGTAACTGTATTAATTCTCAAATTTTTTTTATTTTTTTGAATATTTATTTGTGTAATTTATTAAATACTGGATCAATATAAATATATATCTCAAAATTACTACACTTTATAAAAAAAAAAAGTATCAAATAAAAGTATTTAAAAGTTATTGCTTTGTTTTGTTATAATTAATTTTTTTTTTATTGATTTTATTGTATTTTTAAGATTACATAAAAATGTAATTAATATAATAATTAAATGTTATAATTACAGTTTTTCATGCAGAATTTTATTCTTTTTCAAATGTGCTTTTTAATTATAATAATTAATGATAAATTTAAAAACTTTTATTAAAAGTAAAGTTCACTTTTAATTTCATAAAGTTTGCAACAAATACTTTATTTTCCCACCTGTCTGTTGCAATTTTTACTTAATGCTTTTTGATTGTTTATGCATTCTTGTAAATTGTCTAGATCATCTAAAAATGGCAATATACAATATATAAATATTATTTATTTTTTGTTTATTTTTTTTTGTTTATTTTATTTTTTAATTTTTTTCATTCTCACTTTTCTTACTTTTCTCTTTTTTTCTTTTTATCAAGTATATTTATTTCTTTGAATATTATTTTTCTAATATTATTAACTACTAATAATTTACTAACTATATTTATTTCTTTCTTTTATATTATTAATTATATCTATTTTTTTTTTTTCTTTTTTTAAAAGAATATAGTAGTGATAGTTTTTTAATACAACTATTATATAATATGTATAATAATTGAGCTGCAGATTTTTATTAAAATAGGATGTAAACAAATTATTTACATTATAATTTTATTTTTTGTTTAGAAAATAAGTGATTAGAACTAAAATCTAAAAATTTTATTATTTTCTATTACTACTATACTTATAGCTGATTAGTATATATCAAAAATTGGCTAAAATTTGACTAATTTTATTTATAACTGATTGATATCTAATTTATATCTGATTAAAATACATTGAAATTAACTAAAATATATTAAAATAAAATAAAATTTGAAAGAAAATATATTGGTTACTGATATTAACAACTAAATTAATTTTCTGAAAGATTTAGTTCAATATATTGTTTCAAAAAAATGATAATTTGAATTATTTCTAAAGAATAATTCTTTTATCATTTCATTAAATAATAACTAAAATATCATTTGATTGAAATAATTATATTATTCTAATTAAATAAAGATTAAAAATTGTTTATTAAAATAATTGTATCATTTTTAATCAAACAATAATATAAAAATTATATAATTAAAATGATTGTATCATTTAAATTAAATGAAAATAAAAAATTATTTAGTTTGAATGATTATTTTATTCTAATCAAATGATAATACAAAAAATCATTCAATTAAAATAATTATACTATTTTAATTGAACAAAAACTAAATAATTATTCAATTAGAATAATATTATTATCATTTTAAAAAATGATTCTTTTATCATTCTTTAGGAATGATATTATTATTATTTTAAAAAATTAATTCTTTTATTATTTCAAAAGAATGATATTATTATTATTTCAAAGAAATTATTATTTTATCATTTTTTAGAAATGATTTTTTTATTGTTTTTAAGAAATGATATTATTATTATTTCAAAGGAATAATTCTTTATTATTTCTAAGGACTAATACATTTATCTTTCCTTAAGAATGATATTATTATCATTCTAAAGTAAAGATAATACTACAACTAGTTACAACTATATGATGCTTGTTTATCATCAGTTGCAACTAGTTGTAATTCAATTTTTATTAATATTACAACTAGTTGCAATGTCATCTTTATTTTAAAAAATGATTTTTTTATCATTTCTTAAGAATAATACATATATCATTCTTTAAAAATAATGTTATTATCATTTCAAAGAAATAATTTTTTTATTACTTTTTAGAAATAATATATTTATTATTTCAAAGTAACAATTTTTTTATCATTTTTAAGAAACAATATTATTATCATTTTAAAAGAAAAGCTTTTTATCATTCCTAAGAAATATTATTATTATTATTTTAAAGAAATAATGTATTTATTTTTTTATCAGTCTTTAAGAATGATATTATTATTATTCTAAAAGAATGATTCTATTATAATTTGTTTAAAACTATTTTTATTATTTCTTAGAAATAATTTTATTATTATTTTAAAAGAGTGATATTTAATTATTCATTTATAAAGATTCTTTATCATTCCTTTAAAATGATATTTAATTATTTTAATCAAATGATTTTCTTATCATTCATTTAAATCAATAATTTAATTATTCTAATTAAATGATTTTTTTATCATTTATTTAAATTAATATACTATTATTTTAATTAAACTTTTGAATTAAACTGATTTGCTAAATTAAAATTAAATATTTAAACTTGCCAAATTTAAGATCAATTTTATTAATATTGATTTAATATACTAATATATATAGGAATATTTATATAAATAAGCTTAATTTTTTTATTTTATAAAAATAATTTCAATTTCAATTTATTTTTTTACAATCATTTCTAAATTTTTTCTTTTCACATTTTACCAAAATGTTAAAAAATATCGTCCTAAGAATAAAAAGATCTTAAGTTAAAATTTAGTCAACTTTTCAAAAAATAAACTGACTTTTTTTTACTTTTTATAATAGAAATATATCTCTAACTATCAAAATTTAATGAAATGTAAGTTAAAATTTGGTTAACTTTTCAAAAACAAACTGATTTTTTTACCTTCTATAAGAGAAAAAAGATATTTTAAGTGATTTTACAAAAAAGAATAAATTTTTATTTTATTTATTGTTTTTTTTTAAAATAGTAATATTATTATAATAAATATTTAGAATAGTTTAAGGATTTAAGAGGAAAATAAATTATATTTTTATTATTTTACATAGTTTTTTATTTTATTTGCTTATGTTTTTTAAATAGAAAATTAATCAGTAGATTTTAGTAATATTTTTTTATATTTTTTGTGAATTATATTAAGTTTTATTATTAATAAAATTTTAATATTTAATAAATTTAATAAATAAATGTATTAATTTATAAGCTTATTTAACTGAATTTGATATTAAATTAAGATTAATTTTAGGCTGATTTATGATTGTTTAAATTCTGAATTAATGCTGAATTAATGCTGAATTAAGACCAATTTAGGCTTATTTATGATTGTTTAAGTAAATTAATACTAAATTAATGTTAAATTGAAACCAATTTTAAGCTGATTTATAGTTATTTAAGTTCTAAATTAATGCTAAATTAATGCTAAATTGAAGTCAATTTTAAGCTGATTTATGGTTGAAATTAAGTTTAATATTGATGTTAAATAATTATATTTAATTATAATTGATCAGCATCTATCAGCGCATATTTAAACTGATCAAAAAATATGTTAAATCAATCATAAATAGTATCAAAATCAGCTTAAAATTAACTATTTAATTTCTAGTTAATTCAACCAGTGTTATTGTTCTTATATTTGTTAAAGTTATTTACTCATTTAAATTATAAATTTAAGGTTGATTATAATAGGACTTATTCTTTAATAACTTAGTATTTTTATATGTTACTATTTATTATTAAACTATTATTACTTTAAATTTAACAGATTATGTGTAAGTTAATAATAGTTCAGTTTAATTCAAATTTTAAGGTAATTTAAATTTAAACTGAAATTACAGTTTAGTTTAAATCATATTATTAATCTTGAAATGCTAATTCAAATCTGAACTAAATTGTAAACTGATAAAAATTTGAACTAAACTAAATATTTAAATTAATTTAAAAGTTCAGTTATTTAAAATATTTTTTATTATTCTAATTGAATAATGCTTTTATTATAAATTTTAAATAATGTAATTATTATTATAATTAAATAATTTTTTTATTATTCATTTAAAATAATATTATTATTATTCCAATTGTATATCTCTTTTATTATTTATTTAAAATGATAATAATATCTTTTTAATTGATAATACTTTATCATTTATTTAAAAAGATATTTTTATTATTTATTTATAATGATATTTTTACCATACATTTAAAAAAATATATTTATTATTTCAATTAAATAATTCTTTATTATTTATTTAAAATGATATTATTATTATTCTAATTGAATGATACTTTTATTATTCTAATTGATTGATTCTTTTATTATATATTTAGATTTATTAAAATAATATTATTATTATTTTAATTAAATAATTATTTATCATTAAATAAGAATAAACTAACTAAAATCTTCAGATTAATTTTTATAAAATCTGAAACTAAATTAAAGTTATTTCATATTATTTAGAATTTTAATTATCTTACTATTAGAGCATATTCATAAGGATAATTTATTTATAATCTAGTAGAATAAAGCATAGCATTATTTTTTGACAAATTAATAAATATTAAATTAAATTTATTTATATATAAAAATCATCTCAAAAGTATTAATGAAAATGTTTCTATTATAAATAAAATTCTGAATGTAATAATTTTATGTATGTAGATAAATATCTATGTAAATTTTAGAAATGTAATAATATTAATAATTATTCAGTTATTATATATATTAAAGAGTATGATTGATTAAATTTTTAAAAAATAAATAAAAAATCATAAGATTAATTTAATAAGTATAATCAAATCTGCAAATATTTTTTTGAATTAAAGAAGTATAAAGATTAAAACTATTGCAGTTAACTATATACATCTAAAATTTCTAATCTTTTATTTACAAATAATAATTTTTTATTACTTGTTATATAAGATTTTAATAATTATTTTCTAAATCTAATTCATATTTTAAAATATTTTAAAAAAAAGTTACAGAATATAATAAATATTATTTTAATATAATTTTAGATTTATATCACAATTTTAAGTATTTTCATCTAAAGTACTTTATAGTTATACATTAAACTAATTTATCTAAAAATAAAATAAAAGTGAAAAAAAATCTGAAATCTACTACAAAATAATAAACATAGTATAAGTTATATAAAGAATAAGAAAAATGAAAATGATAATTCACAAAATCAATTAATTTAATAGAAAAAAGTAGCAAAGAAAATAAAAGCAAAGCAAAGGATTCACAAATGGCAAAATTTAACAATAAAACTGTAGGAGCAAAATTATCTTTTATTTTAATATAATAATTTTTAATTATAATAATTCATTCTATTTTTTTTAGTGGGTTTGGATTTTAAAAATATAAAAAAAGATTTCATCAATATTGTAAGGATAATTTTAAGAATAAAAAGCTTAATTTTTTTTATTTTATTTTTACATAATAATAAACATTTTTTTCTCAACAAGTTTAATTTAAACTTTTTTTGTATCAGATTACTATAATAAATTTTGTTCAATTTTTTTATACTTGAGTTTAAATTTAATTAAACTAAGTTTAATTTTTTTAATTTTTTTAAAAAATTAAAATTTTGCTATCACATTTATTTTTTTCATATTACAATAAATTGTTTATTTTTCTCACAGAGTTTAAATTTAAACTTTATTTTATATTAAGTATTTTATTAAATAAAATTTGTTATCACGTGATTTAATTTTCTTAAATGGAATTGATGACAGGGATGGAGGAAACTAAATTAAAATGACATCGTCTGCCCCCAGAGCAACACTGTGTTGCTGGTTTTATAATTTTGTACTAGATTATAATTTTGTTACAGACAGTTAATAATCACATAAATATTTTTAGCATTAGCTTTAAAAAAATTACAATTTAAAAATAAAAATATTTCTATTTAGGTTATGTAAAAAAAAATTCAAGATATTTTATTTTTGATAATTAATATGGTATTATCCTTGCATGTAGTGCGAGAAATAAATGGATTTCAACTTCCCGATATATGAATCTTAATTAAATGGTCATCTCACGAGCACATGATGTTGCTCGGAAACTGTATATGTTGAATTTTAAACGGTATAACTAGTAAGAGCTGGCGGGATAAGTTGGAGGCGAGCCTACTAAGCACACGGATTTTAGAGAAAAATATTTAATGTTAGCCGCAACAAAGAAAATGTATAATTATCTTTTTGTAATAAATAAAATCAAATTTTTACAATTAAGATTAAATATCACGTGACGTAATCGAATATTTTGATTGTATTTTTCGTACCTTCAATTAATTCAGGAAGCAAAATATACATATAAATCATAATAATTATTCAACCTTTTAAATTAAATACGTGCTTACGTATGTTTCGTTTTCACTTGAAACTATCGTTTCGATTTTTTATCATGCTTTTATTTATTAATGAAATGTAATGAGTGTCATATTGATGATGATTGTGAATTTTCTATATATGTTGATCATGTAATTGATGCAATGACACGTGTCTTGTTTTTAACAAAGTCTGTGATCGTTTAATTTATTTATTTCATAACTTTTCTTTCTGCTTTTTATCATCTGTAGCAATAATTTAGGTTTTCTCTTTAATGGCCACCCTTCAGTATAAACAAAATATAAATTGGCTAAGTGGACAAACAAAAGTTCTATTAGGCTTAAGAGGTCGATATGCAGATGTTTTTAGAAAAACTTTTATTGAAGGTATAAAGGAAGACAACGAAGAAAGCTGCTTTAAATTTGTCGCAGATAAGATGAATCGAATGTCATTATTTGCCGAACAAAGTGCATTATTTCGACCAAGTCAAGTTAAATCCAAATATGATAACCTTTTTAAACAAGTAAAGGTAAGCTTCCCTAGTTAGTTTATTCTATATACATTATAAAATCACTTCTTTTATTTTTGTTAACGCTTTTAGACGTTAATGGAGGGAAAAGGGGACCAGATTTCCAACGATGCCAGCGAATATTTTGAGAATGTAAAGCCATTTCTGAAAGATGATGAGTTATGGAAGGATGAAAAAAATAACCAAAAGAAAGGAGGTAAAGGGATACTTAATTCTTTAATATTACTGATTTCGATTTGAAAGGTTTACAAAGTATTTGTGACGAAGGTATCGAAGAATATGAAGCGACCGCACTTTCTAAAAGCAGTTTAAAAAGTATTCATTTATTCCAACTTTTGATTATGTTAAATCATTCAGTCTATTTATCAGAAAACTTTGATATTAAAGGTAATTATTATATATAGGTTCTACCAAAAGAAAAATAACTGATGACGCTCAAGGAAATCAAAGACCGCGTAAAAGTATTACTTTTTTTTTTATTATTTGAATTATTAATGTTAAGTATTGATCTTTTATAATATTAAAATGACAATATTTAAAATTAGGATTATTGACTAATGATTAAATGAAATGTATACGAAGCTTCAAGCCATAACTTGATTTTTCTTCACGACTGTGGTGTGGAATATAATTTTACGAATTTCTCAAATCCTGCTAAACACGAATTGGGTGTAATATGTTTTAAAAATTATTATTATTCTGAATTTATTGAAATTCTCATAATTTTCGCTACTTTAACAATTATAATGCTCTTCAATGAAAATAAAAATTTAGTGATATGAACTTTTCAATTTGAAAATTTGTATAATTATTAAGTCAAGGTATAATTGACGAATACAGTTATTTAAACAAGAATCTTTTAAGAAACGATAATATACATACTGAATTTGTATTAATACATTGTGTTTATTTATTATAAATTATTAAATGGATAATAAGTACAAATAATGGAGATAAGAGAGTATATATTGACAAATATTATAAAATCTTTCAATTAACAGTCTCTTAAAAATAATAGTCATCAACCAAATTCAAAAGATTCACAAAACCTTTCTATAAAAAAACTAATTAAAGTTGACACCAACTATCTATAGAGGATTTGGTGTCGTGAATAACTAATTTATTACGTTTATTTCGAATGAAAATTTTTTTATAAATACGGTGAGTCATTCGAATTCAAAATTCATATTTTCATAATACAAATTATATTTACAAATAATGAAATTTCTTTTGATACTCTCCAAAATTAAAATCCAGTCCTATACCAATTACGTTCCTTAAAGATTGCATAATTGATATATTTAGGTCGAGTGGTGCTTAATAAAGTTGACGATAACGCTAGGATATGGATCAACTTTAATTAAAAATTTATTCCCAATTCTTTCTGTAACATGGTGAGCTTTGTTTGCAGAACTTTTAGAAATGACAAAACTCATTGTATCGAATGGTGGTGTTAATATCGGCAAAATAACTCATTATAGGTAGGCATTGTTTATCAACATATATTATTATCGGAATTGAAACTTAGTAAAGAACAATATTACGTGCGCATGCAAGATTCCAAAGATCGAATTTCCGATTATTCTAATTCATTATTTAACTTGATGAAAACCTTATATTTTCCTTTTAAATGAATCCATTTCTCAAATTACAGATTTAGAAAAATAGCAGAAGGTGATTTACATTAAAAAATAATATTAGCAGATATTTCTTAATGAGGTATTCAATATCTGAAACAATTTTATTAACAATATCATTAGTTATGTTTATTTAGTCTATGATCGTGCAATCTGCTTAATTTGAATTTCATATAGAAAACCTTAGGCAAGTGATATATATTTAGAAAACAAACTAGATCAAAAAATGAAAAGCTAATACTGGATATCATGACTAGAACAAAGTTTTAATAATAAAGGAATTACAAAATATTAAAGGTAAATTTAAATTAAAACTCAAAATTAGAATGCTAATGTTGACCGGTCATTACCGATATCTGTCGGTCAAAGGCTTCTGACGACCGATTTTGACCGATTTGACCGACCGGTTGACCGATTGATTTTGACTTTGTTTTAATTAGTAAATAACTCTTATATTTAAATTAACAAATTAACAATCATTTAAATAATATAAATTTTATTTAAATTAAATATAAATATGGGTTGATTGCTAAGAAAATCAGGTTCCGGGAATTTTTTAACAAAATTGAGATTTTTATTGCCTTTTAGTTTTTGATGTTAAGCATTAACGTTAAGTTCTTAATTTTAGTCAAAAATTTTCTCGGAACCTGATTTTCCTAGAAATCCTCCCATATAATTTAAATTTTTGAAAAAATTCTTAAAGCTCCGCGATAATGCTGCGCCATTAAATATAAGTAAAAAAAATATTGTACAAAGAAGTTTTAAAAAAAGCTTTAAAAAAAAAAAAATACAATTTTTAATATTGGCTAAATAAATCTTTCTAAAAACCAAAATCTTTTACAGCAAAATTCAAAATATGCGGGACACTCGGCAAATTTGATGCTGGGTATTTATCGGGTTGTCGGGTATCAATAACACGTTATATATTATTAGTGTAACACAATATTTTACTAATATATATTAGATATTTTTGTACGACTATTAAAATTTTAATTGTAATACTGTTTGAACGCATATGTCTTATTTGCTTAGTTTGTCAAAATAATTATGGCCAAAATTGCACTTGTCAAGCAAGAAAAATAAAAAGGACGAAAAAGAAAAATGAATGTGACTATAAAGTAGACTTTTGTCATAAACCTCTTACGCAAAGGGGGGCTACAAAACAAAAAGTTATGTTAAACTCTGAATTTATTAGTTGGTTTTCTGTTAATATTTCTTCATGTAATTATCTCAAGATGATGTAAATATTTGCCAAAATTGTATGAGTGGATATCATGGCAAAAATAAAGGTACACTACCCTCGGAAAAGTATCTGGATAAGCTTGTTTTAAATTTCTCAAGATCGGACATATCAACTAAATAAAATTTTTTTTTTAAATAACCCCCTGGTTTTGAAGATGATGTGCATATGTTTATATTTGTGTAATAATGCATAGATCAGGTTTAATATACAAAAACATAAAACAACTTCAATTTCACCTTTTTAAAAATTGTGCCATTCAACATGAGAAAAAATCGCAAATTAAATAACTTTGAACGTGGATAAATTATCAGTTTAAAGTTAGCGGGAAGGACTCACGAGGCCATCGCACATATTTTAAAGTTTCCAAAAAGCACTGTTACAGATATAATTATGCAGTATGCTAATTCTAATAATGGATAAAATGCTAAAAGATTCGGATGACCAAATTCGATGAATAAAGATGGTGATCTTACACTTAGGCAAAATATAAAAAAAAAGAATCAGACATCTCTTAATTATTGACGATTTAAATATTTACACTTAAAATTTTAAATAAATATTTTTTTTCAGTTGACAGTATACTTTTCCGATGGTAGTGTATATAATTATCACTTATACTTTATTATATATATTTAAAATTCAAATAATTTATTCAAATATTATAAAAGCCATAAAAACCAAGCAAGTTATTCAAAAATCGACCACAAAATGATTCCTACAGAGGAACATTTATTGATTTAACAAGTAATGTACTACCTACTCTATCCGATTCATAAAAACCAAGTGCACAAAGCCACATACTACCTATATCAATTCCAAAAAAACTGAATTAATAAGTAAATATTTTTTATTAATTCTCTATTTATTTTTGATAATTTAAATGATTTTACAAATTAAAATTTTTTTTTTGATCTAGAGTATATTATGTTAGTTTATTTTAATAAATTTAAGCAACCACAAAAATACTTAATGGAACAATAGATTTTCCTTATAATTTGAATAATTTAAATATATTTGGTCAAATTGAAGAGGAAACCTTATCTCATAATCTTTCAACAGAATGAGAAAAAATAAAAATTGGTTTTATATGTTATCAGTAAACTTCTAATGCTAAATCAGATCACTTTGATCTAAAATCAAATGGTGCCATTATGACATTTGTTGAAAAGTGCAAAAAAATATATAATTATGTATATGTATATTCTGCAAAATGAGAGAAAAGAAAATAAATAGTTTATGAAAGTTTTGTAATAGGTAATGATGATATTAATACTAAAATATCTACATTAAAAAGAATCAAAGTATAATATTTTATTAATTTATATTTGTAATATATATCATATTTAATAAAATTTTATTTTAATAATTTAAATTAAACATCAAAAACTGATTTACCATTATATGTTGTAAAATTAGAAATATATAAAAATCTTTTTAAATGTGAATATCATATTTAAGACTATTTAATTGCAGAGGATGGACATTTTTAAGTTGAATAATGATATGATTACAATTTGGAAAAGAATAATAAAAGAATAATGATAAAGAATTTAATATTTTTATTTTAATCAATTTTTAATTAATAACAAACTTTTATTTATTAAATTGTTAAAATTGATAGTATAGATGCAACTCATCTGCTATTAACTAAGATATTTAATAAAGTTAATTTTCATTATCTAAAATTTAAAAATCTTTGGAAAATCATCATAATAATATATTTAATAATGATAATTTTTATATTATAGTATTGATTTATTTATATTAAATTAATTTTTTTATTTTATTATTATAATATAATAAAAGATTCAATTCTAATTGTATTATCAAAAATACAAAATCTAATTTAGTTATCACCTTATAAATCAAATATTTAAATAACAAAAAAAAATAACATTTTATAATTTCATTTAAATATGTATTCCCAATGGATCTATTGGAAGAAAAAAAATTTATTATTAAATCTTTACTTAATGTAAATGAAAAAGTTTTTTATCAGAATAAATAATTAAAGAAGTTTTTATTGAATTATATATTAATTTATGAATTAATATAGAAATAACAATTATTAATTTTGATGAACTCTTTGATAATGATGAATAGATAAACTTATTTTTTTATTTTTATATATTAAATAATAATTTTAATAAATTTTTAATTACAATTTAAAAAAATAAAATTTGTTTACATATATTTATCATATTCAAAGTATATTTAGATAAATCTTTATTAATAATCATATATATTAAGTTTAAATCTTATATAGGATATTACATAAATTTAATCCAGTTCTGATTTTAATACAAGTAATTTTTTATGTAAAAAAGCTTGCTCTATCTATTAGCAAAAATATATTAATTTATAAATAAATAAATAAATAAATAAAATTTAAAACTTAAATATTATATACTGAATTAAGATCTAGTGAATAAGTAGGTAAATATTTTACTCAGACTTCTTTTGTATTATAAATATCAAGTAAATATTATCCTTTATGTATAGATATATTATTTAAATTAGAATATTATAAGGATCTAGATATGTATTTATCTAAAAAAAAATAAAAAAAATAAAATTATTACATTTTATAATTATATAATTATATAATTGTTAAAATATTAAAGTATAATTACTTAATTATTTTCAATAAAATTATTATAGTCATTACTATTTATAGAACCTTCT